AGACCATGAAAAAAATCACAATTTTCAGAAGTCCTGGTTCTCTCATTTTAAAAACTGGGACAATGAGTTTGTTTCTTGTCTTATAAACACACAATAACTCAATTTATGAGAAGCACTTAGCCCATTGCTCAAACCTACAGATCCCTCCATCAAAAAAGCGTCCCTTTATAACAAAGCTGACAAGGTTTAAAAATTAATTTAAACACCCACTTACTCAAAAATACAAATGATTTATACAAGCTAAAGAATATTAACAACCTCTTCAAAAAATGGTGTTGGAAAATTAGAGATAAGGGCAAAATAATTTCTGCCAGGTATTGAGGGGGTAGGGAGGAGAGGGAGGGGGCGGAGTGGGTGTTAAGGGAGGGGATGGGGGCAGGGGGGGAGAAATGACCCAAGCATTGTATGCACATATGAATAATAAAAAAAAAATGGTGTTGGGAAAACTGACTACGTGCAGAACACTGAAACTAGACCCTATCTCTCACCCTATTCAAAAATCAACTCTAAATGAATCAAAGATCTTCATGTAAAACCTAAAACATCTAAACTGCTAAAGTGAAAAAAATAGGGAAAACTTTAGAATATATAGGCATAGGTAATTTTTCAAAATATTTATTATCATATTATTTTACTGGGGGTATATTGTGACATTTATAAAAGTGTTCACAATATACGTTAGTCAAATTCACCCCCTCCATCATTCTCCTTTATCCCTCCTCCTCCCTTCTTAGAATAGGTTCAACAGGTCTCATTTTTCCATTTTCATACATGAGTACAAAATATTTCCACCATATTCACCCTCCTACACCCTTTCCTTATATCCTACCAACTCCCACTGGTACCAACCCCCAGAAAGGACATGTTTTACTTTCCCGTCCTTCATTTTTTAAAAAAGACATTACTGTTTGTTTAAGACAGCTACACAGGGAATTTCATTATGACATATCCATGTACATATGTATTGTATCCCAAATTGGTTCAACCCCTCTGTTTTGATAATTATTTTCTGAATAGGATTCCAGTTGCCCAGAAAATAAGAGCAAGAATTGACAAATGTGACTGCATCAAATTAAAAGATTCCTGCACATCAAAAGAAACAGTTACCAGAATCAAGAGACAACTCACAAAGTGGGAGAAAATCACCAGCTCTTCAACAAATATGGGATTAATATCCATAATATACAAAGAGCTCAAAAACCTAAATAGCAAAATAACAATCCACTTAATAAATGGGCAAATGAATAATTCTCAGAAGTACAAATAGCTAATAAATTCCTGAAGAAATGTTTATCATTCTTAGCCAAGAAACAAATGCAAATCAAAACAACATTGAGATTCCATCTCACCCTCAGAATGGCTATCATCAAGAAAACAAGCAACAAAGCCAGGCACCAGTAGCTCACTTCTGTAATCCTGGCTACTCAGGAGGCAGAAATCAGAAAGATCGCGGTTCGAAGCAAGCCAGGCAAATAGTTCGTGACACCATATCTCAAAAAACTCATCACAAAAAAAGGGCTTATGGAGTGGCTCAAGGTGTAGGCCCTGAATTCAAGCCCCAGTACCACAAAAAAAAAAAAAAGCAACAAATGCCATCAAGGATGCTGCAAATTCCTGCAATAAATATGGAAATTAATATGCAGGCACATCAAAAAAACTAAAAATAGACCTTCACCTTATGACCCTGCTACACCACTCTTAACACATGTCAAAAGAGTGAAAATCAACATGCAAAAGAGAAACCTGCACATCCATGTTTATAGCAGCACTATTCACAATAGCCACGCTGTGGAATTAGCCTAGGTGCCCAACCACAGATGAATGGATGGAGAAAATGTGCGGTATATACACAATGGAGAATTATTTAGCCATAAAGAAGAATGAAATTGTGTTGTTTGCAGGAAAATAGATGGAACTGGAAATCATCATATTGAGTGAAATAAGCCAACCTCAAAAAACCAAATAGCACATAATTTTTCTCCTATGTGAGACCTGATGTGATGATAATAGGACATGAATGTAAAAGAAGGACTATCTGGGGGGAGTTAGAGGGAGGGGAGAAGGCAAAAAGAGAGGGTACTAGGGGTGAAGGGAGTTGTACCTTACATATATATATTGCACATATATGCATATATAACACTATATATATATATGAAGATAGCATAATGAAATCCACCAACCACTGTTTTAAAAAGAGAGGGAAAAAGAGTGGGGCTTAAGTGCATATAATAGCGGAGGTGAACTTGTTCATTGTATACATCGATAGAATTATCACACTGAAATCCCCTCGGACCACTAATACATGCAAATAATTTTTTAAATCAAACATCTCATTAAAAATCAAACCTTATGATAAAATACAAATGAAGCATGTTATATTAAGCAATTCTCTCCTTTTATTGTGGGAAACAATACCTATAGGTGTCAACCTGACAAATGTGCCTGGGAGTAGCAATTTAATTCACACCCACAAGGGTAAAGCTGAGTAGAGTCCACTGTCACAGCTCTGTCCCCAGTCCTCCCCTGCCCGTCATTCTCCACCCAACTCATGCTGTTTGTTGAGGGTGGAGAATGAATGAAGAGAAAAGCTGTGTGTCTTCAAACTTCTGCCCCTTCTGCCCCTTTCTCCTACATTAACATGTATGTCAATAACTGCCTAATTATGTTTTGGATCCAAACATGCCAAGATTTGCATTTTTAGTCTGTTATCTCTTACTCTGGAATCAAAGTATCTCCCTAGACCGTTCCCTGGCTTCCTACATCTGCAAACATTATAGAAGTCACGTTACTAATCAATCACTTTTTACTGATTAAGTATCTTTAATATTTCTTCTCTCCTTGCTCAAACTCTTCTTCCTTACCTCTGTCCAGCCTAGTTTCTCATTGGCTCAATCCATGAACATATCTCTTCCTTTCCCCAAATTTTCTCTACAATCTCTTTCTCTGACTAGCAAACTTGGAAAGAAATCTTGTTCAGTGTGCAGCCTATAAGAGATGTCATTTGACAGGAGGCCCTTCCCTGTTTCCTCAATAAAATTAGTCTCTAAAGATTTCAAGTAGATTGTCCTTATCGCTACAAAAGCACCTGTCACCTTATATTATAAGTAGTGCCATGTCTGTACTTCCTAATAAACTGTAACAATTTAAAAGCAGGGACAGTGCCTTACTTGAGGTGATTGTTGTATGAACAGATGAAACAAGTCTGTATTTCTTTAACACCTTCTTTAAGCCCTGCCTGAGTCACTCCTTCTCTGGCCCAAAACCTTTGGTGTTGCTTCCTCTCTTAGAGTGCCATTACGCATCCTTTATCCCAAGGCCACACAATGCAGGTTTTAAATTTTACAGAAAATGTCATAGTGTTTTGACATCTTTAGGATGGGACATTGGAATGTGTCTGTAGCCCTCATACATATTTTCTAACCAGTGTGTCCTCTAATTTTCAAGTCCTCTCATGGAGCTCTTTATGTAGTAGGTATTGTCACTCACCTCTACAGAACAGATGGATGGATGTCAGAATGGACACACATGAGAGCAACATGACTTGGTGGACTAGCAATGCATTTCTGACAAAGAAGTGTGTTTTAGTCTCGTTTTATTTCGCTTCTGACACATACAGAGAGATATTTAACATACTTCTTCTAGGTCTTCTCTGTGCATCCTAGCTTAGTTTCTGCCAATGATTCCCAGCATTAAGAAGTAAGAACCTAGCCATGACATAAGGCCTGAACTCTAAGAGAAGAGGACTCAGGACTTCCTGTCTGAAAGTCAGCTGACTTCATCACCCAGCTCAACCCCACAGCATCCAGCTATTGCTCCCTCCATTGTGGGTAAGACCCCTCTCTGGATTCCGAAGAAATAAGATGGACAACTGTTTTTGGAGGCTCCCACAGCTCTGGGTGCTTTTCAGCTCTGTTCCTCACAACTTTCTCCAGCAGCAGATCCAAAAGGTAGAAAGAGAAAGGGGAGATGAGGGTTACTACCCCACTCCCACCATCCACATACAGCTTTAGTCTTCAGAAGGCACTCAATATAATCCTGAAAATTCTGTCTTAAAACTCAGTATTCATGATAACTCTAAGTAAATAAAATCAAGAGTAGACTGTCAAACTGTTGGCAAGTGTTATACAGAGCATTGCTGCCCACAGGAATATCTGGTAGGATGTGCTTTAGTCTTAGGGAAACATTTGTAATTACAAGTTGAGGAAAGACAGGGTAAAGCCACTGCAACACAACAGCAACAACCTTTTTGAAAGTGGAGTTTCATTGTTTTTTGTCCAAAACTATCAATTCAAGAGTGAAAGAAACTCACATATCTCAGGACCTATTTACACACTACTTAATTGAGGTCTGCTGCCTGGGCATCCCCCAGGGGGCGCCAAAGAGCCGTTTCTTTTTTTAGAACACAGGTGTAAGAAATTCTGGGTACCTCTTTCTGGGCCATACAAATCCCAGAAGAGGAGTTCTATTATACAGATTTCCTGGGGTCAACCTGACTCACAGGGAGCTAGGGAGCTAAGGATCTACATTACACTGTCAGTTATTGCCCTTGGCCAAATCTAAGGACAAACAAGGAGTGTCAAGTAACTTTGCCAGATTCTTGTTGAGAGTGAATGGCTCTGAGTACTTAGATCTCTGGAGTGGTCCAGACTAACAACAGAATATAAAGCTGGCTGACCGGACAGGGACTCCTGAGATCACTGTGTTGCAGCTATTGCTTCTCAGGGAGCCATTTAAACTTCCTGAGTTTATCTGAGGAGTAAACCTAGAGTACAACAGTCACGATGAATCCATTGGCATAGGCAACTATCCACAAATTACAGTCCCCAGCACATGGCTAACAGAGCTTATGCTTATGGGACATGTGCTCTTGGAAGAAACACCACTATGGTACCCACTCTTATAATCAACACCAATCTATAGGTCATATTTTTATTAGGCATCTCTATTCTATAATACTGCTACTAAGTGGAATTGGAATTACCCACCCATGAGAGTCTTACCTTCTCAAAGTCTCGAAGGGCCTGGGTCTGAACCTGAGGGGGCCTCTCAAATGCGTTCAGTGAATGTGTCTGTCCAAAGGTGACCCTCTCCCCACTTCTCCAGGTCTGCAGCTGCACTGGAGGGCCTCGATCTTTAGTGTCACTAAGAAAAGCTGCCAGTGAAACAAAACAACAACAGTTTTTATAATAAAGGCATCATGATCATTGTAACCAGCACATTCCAGCAGAATTTGGTTTCTGTAAAGTACAAACCAGTTCTAGGCCACCTACAAAGAATTTTCATAAGGTAGCCTATGGCAGATGGTATTAATAATGGTTCCCAGGGACCACACTATACAGTTTGTGTCCTTGCCCTTTGCAATGTGATGTTCACACTCTTCCAGCCAAGTAGGATCTATTTCTCTACCCCCAACTCTGAGTTGGCCAGGTGGATGGCTTTGACCAATAATACACAATGAAAATGACATTGAATGAGTTCCAGAAATGAGGCCTGACAGGCTTTGCTTTTGCCATCTTAAGACCATACTGTCTACCTGTTGGACAAGGAAAGGTCAATTTCAGGGAGATGAAGATGGCCCAGTAGACAGCCAGTCAACAACTGTCAGCCATCTGAGCAAGGCAGTCATAGACCCTCAGGCCCAGTTAAGCTGTCAACAGATTGTAGTCATTTCAGCCACTCCACATGAGACTAGCAGAAAAAATTCTCAGTTTGCCAACAAATAATTGTGAGAAATAATAAATCTTTGCTGTAGGAGTAGGGAAAGTTTTTCTTAAAGCCAGTATTTTAGGATAGTGGGCTAAACAGTCTCCACTCAACTATGCCCATGTAGCTCAAATCAGACACAGACAATATGTAAGTGAATACACATTACTACATGGCTATAAAATTTTATTTTAAAAAGATGACCTTTGGCCTGTGTGCTGAAGTTTGCTGCCCCCTCTTTTAAGCCACCAAATTTTGGAGTGACTTATTTCAGGATAAGAAAGATAAAATAACCAAAATAGCCTTTAAAAGAAAAACAATCAAACTACTTAGACCTAAGAAGTATTTACAAATCTCGTTACAGAGAATTTTTCAGATTACTATTTAGGAATAACAACAATTGTAGCAATTAATACTTAAAGGAAATTAATGGCTACAAAGCAGTTTCACATGAATGAAGGACAGAATCACTGTAACCCATGAAGTATTAAAACCATTTGCCTGATGAGTGCATAAAGAATCTGAAAGTTTGCTTACTCAAGACCACATTGCTGAAAAGTGGTCCTCTCCACTCGTCTTTCTTAACATGTGTTAACAACTAAGGAGACTGTAACTGATCTGATAGTTGGGAAAACAGGCAAAGGTACATAGACCACCATTCCATCAACCAACAGAAGTATTGCTCTGGAATTGCCTGCTTTTAACTGAGCAGTGTCATTGTGAAATAAACCAGGGCCCCAGTAAAACACAGAACATACAGGACCTCAGATCAGGGCACAGCTGGGGTTATGCTCAAAGGTAGAAAACCTACATAACTACACCTTATTTTATCTGACAAAAGGAAACAATGAGCCTTCATTAATGAATTATTCCTTTAACATTAGAAAGAATAAGAACCATAGCAGTGCATTGAGTTCCATAGAAAGAGCCTAGGCAAGTACAAGCAAATGGGCCCTGGATGACTTTGTGCCTTGCTCAGAAGTGAGATAGACCCAGGGGCAAAGGAGGTCAAGAGGCAAAATACATCCGATGCTTTTTCTTTTTCTTTTCTTCCTTCTCTCCTTTCTTCTTTCTGAAAACTTGCCAGAAGGAGCAGGTTATGGTTTGAACCTTAAATGTTCCCTTAAAAGGCCAATGATAAAGGCTTGGTTGCCATCCTGTAGGGTTATTGGGAGGTGGTTGAGTCTTTAGGAAGTGGGACCAAGTAGAAGGAAGTTAGGTCATTCTGGGCATGTGCTTGAAGGGTATATTTGGGACCCTGGTGCTTTCAGCTCCCTTTGCTTCCAGGTCACCTTAAGGCAAACAGGTTTCCTCTGTCGTGTGCACCTGCCATGATGGACTGCCGTGCCACAGGCTCAAAACAAACAGGACTTATTAACCTTGGACTGAAACCATGAGCCAAGCCAAATCTTTTCTCTTTTCAGGTTGATTTTCTCAATAAGGTGCGTCCACTACGGAATTTTTCTTCATATCCAAATGTATTTGACTCTCCATTATATCACTGATTTTAAAGAGCAACTTGAAGTGTAAGATTATATCATTTGTTTTTAAACTGAATGCTGCATTCAGTGTCTTTATTTCTGTAAAATTAACATCGTATTAAATGTGTATGTAGAGAGTCCTGTTCTTAATTGTATTTTCAATAGCTGCTAATATTGCAAGGTACTGTATAGGGTTTAAACTTATACAGAAATTTAAAGCCAGCTTTATTGGTTCAAAGCACAAATTAGTTATACATCAAGATGCTATTTTTTCCATTTTCAATTGTCTTTGATGCAGCTTGCACAAAATAGTTATTCTGTTAATACTGTTCTGAGATTTCAAATAATATATAATGATGATTGTTGCACCTGTTTTGTTGACATAATGAGTGTTTCTAAGTAAATGTAATTTTAATTTAAAAAATTAGAAGCAATGACTTCTTTCTAAGTAGTAGCCTATTGAGTACAGGAGAGTATGATAAAACTGAACAAAAAATACACTGCAGTGAGACATGATGGAAAGAACAGTCTTTAAAGCTGGGATTTGATCTTGACCACTTGAAACACTTCTCACAGAAGTGTTATATGGATTATAGAAAATAATAAGTGAAAGCACCCTACTAATGTCTGTCTGTCTGTAGTCGGTATTTCATCCATCCCCTTTCTAGTTTTGCCCTACTCCTTCCATCTTTGCCCAGAAATGTAGATCCCTGACACTTAAAATGTTCAGGAGTGTAACCCCTGAAATTTCTGAATTTAATGCACACAGTTTCAAATACTTATCTTAAGCAACTCTAAAGTCCTTAATTTATTCAATGGAAAACCTGTTTTCTCCATGGTGCATAGGAATCATTTATGCTTCAAGGCTGGTGTGAAAAAGGCAAATCACATAGCAAATGAGCAAAACCCTCAAAAGAGGCTGTCTCTACTTTGATTTTATAACTCAAGTAGGTCTCTGGCTAATATCAGGGCAATAATGATTATGCTATTATTATGACTACAATAATAATAACAATAAGTAATATTTACTGAGTATTTATTCCCTGGCAGGCTCTGGACTAAGGGCTTTTCTCATTTACTCTTATCTCTGAGGTTAACATCATTATTACATCCATTTTAATTGTGTATTTGGGTACAGATTTCATTTTTGTGGCAGAATTTATTTTAATCATTCTATAAGTGACTTTAATCTCATAGTCACTGACTCAGTAAAGATATGAAGTTTCACATAAGTATCTCAGTTATGATTTTCTAGCACATATGATTATATGTAGCATATAATTCCTCACTGGGGAATTCTACATGGAGAATTATATGCTACCATGGTATGTGCAAATTTGGAAATCCATAAAAGTTAGAGGCATGTGGCCATGATGACCACAAAGGACCCAAAATTCAAGGCAGTGATGACCAGCAGGAAATTAAGATTTGAACAAGGCAAAGCCCATGGCATCCTTACCTGCTGTATTCCTTGTTCTGGATACCATCTCCCCACCATCTTCTGCAAAGTAGTTTCTGTGGAGAGAAATACATCATTAATTAATGACGTACTACCCCACAAATCTCCTGTCCCTGGGAGAGAAGACATTTATTGCTTTTCTCTTCATAAGTATTACATTGAAATCCTACTACATGTACAGCCAGCCATTAAACAAATAATTTCACAAGCATTAATTACTATTATGGTAATCTAAGGAAAATGCAAGGGGGTTTAACTAGTACAAAGACTTGGAGAAAGGGACATTTAATCCTGAATAAGGAAGATGTCAAACAGTGAAGAATGAGAGCAAAAATATACTGTGTCAGGAAAGACCTTGCCCTGTTAAAGGAACAGAGAAAGCCAATATGCAACCAGACTTCATAGAGCCTGTGGGATGTGTTAGGATATTGAATTTTATGTAAATGGGGTATGAGAAACCACTGACGGATGTTAAGTTAGGGAATGAATGATAAAGGCCCCGAGATTTAGATTTTAGACAGATCATTCTGGCTTCTGAGAGAGACTATGCCAAAGAGGATGGTGAGGGTCTACATTCCAAGCAAGAAGTTCTGATGGTTTTAACTAAGAGGAGATAGAGAGAAGCCAAAAACTTTAAGCTAAGTTTAGAGAGTAGAATTCACACACACACACATACCCAAAAAAAAAAAACCTTAGAAAAGCAAAGTCTATTCATGAAAATGTCAGCAACATCATGACTCAGTAGTAAGAGGTCAGCCTGTCCAGAACACCAAGCACCACTATCCATAACACAGAGAGGGGAGAAAAATCTCAGACTGTATTCAACAAATACTTGTCAAGTACCTGCCTGTTTTTAGATACCATTTGATACTCCACAAATGTAGCAGTAAGCAAAACAAACAAAATTCCCTGCATTAATGGAACTTATAAAAGGGAAAACAATGTATATGTAAAATATATAGTAGCAGTTAGGGGTAGATCCTAGCAAAAAAGGAAATTGGAGAGTGTGGATAGAGGTGCTGGAAGTAGCAGAGGAGATTGCAATTTTCAGTAGACAAGGCTTCTCTAAGAGGCAACAGGGTTGCTATGGTAGCAGCTGGAAAAAAAGTCTTCTAAGCTCACAGAACCAAATGCAAGGGCCCCGTGAAGGAGTATGCTAGAGTCTGCAGGACACCAAGGAGACCAATGTGCTGTGCAGAGTGAGCCTGTGATGAGTAGTATGAAGAGAGAGGGCAAGGAAGTAATAGGAGGGCTGGGCAGAGGATGCAAACTGTATAAAGTCTTTCAGGACACTGACAAGCATTTGGCCACTCTAATCTTACGAATCAAAAAAGAGAGATGAATGGAATGACTAATGGTTCAAAATGGCTGGCTAGTGATTTGACAACAGAGTGGGTAGGTGGTAAGGCAGAAACAGATATTGCAGTAATTCTACAGAGACATGCTTTGAACACTTAGCTCATCAGTTGCAACCAAAAAGAATTCTGGTCCCAGAAGTTTAGAAGGCTTCTCTTTTTAAAAGCTACACAATGTCCATGGGGAGGGAGGAGACTCTGGCACTCTTTTGGAAACTAATATTCTCTCTTCTCTGCCTCAGGCTAGATTTTTACATAAATCTTCACTCTTTCAGTCCCATGGACATGAAAGGCCCAGACAGGACACACTGGACTGCATACAACTGGAAATTCTTTATTAACCAAAAATAGATTGCCAGCCTGTGGTTTTTCCTGCCCCTCTGCTTTTCCTTTCTCCTTCTCATTAAAAAGTCTCTCTGAGAGCGGAGCCATGCAAGAAAGGAATGTGCCATTTATGGACTACCCTCTGTTAAGGTGAAGCAGGAGAAAGAGGTCAAACTATGAACCAGAACAATGTCTTGAAAAACTTGGAAAGGAAAAGGTTATACTTCTCTGTTGCTAGTCACTGAACATATGTGCTCAGTCCACAGACAAAAGTGACTATGCACCTGTCTTCAGAGCAAGGTCACCTTGCAGGCCAAATGCAGCCATCCAACACGTTGTATTCAGTCCATAGCAGGCTGACCCATTTCTAAGTTCCCCCAGAAAGTCAGAAGGACCAAAAATTTTGTTTGCTTTCCAAATCTGGGAATAGATGGCTCCCTTAAACAGAACAGGCATGGTCTTCCAGCTTGCCATTTCCTGTCCTTCCAATCCCAGCTCGCTTACCTATTTATGATGCTTGCCTGGCTCCTTATAGACTTCCAAGATGGTTACCCTGGTACAGACCAAGTGCAGACAGAATTTCACTTCTGCTTTAAGGCACAATCTTAAGCGCTTAGACGTGGCTCAAGTGGTAGAGTATCTTCCTAGAAAGCACAAGGCCCTGAGTTCGAACCAAAAAAAGACACAATCCTGGGAAACCTGTTGGCTTCATTAATTTTTGACAAGCTACTAACTGTCATATAAGTCATTTTTACCTCCTTGGGCTTCAGTTTCCTCAAAGATTTTTCCTTAAAGTGAAAATTTCACAAGTTTCTTGCAGTAATCATAATATGCAACTCTATTGTAATAGTTATAGTTTGGATCTGGAATTACTTCCAAAGGCTCATGTGTTTAAGGTCTGGCTCCCAGCTGGTGGCACCATTAGAAGGTGGTGGAAACTCTAGGAAATAAGCCCTCGTTGAAGTATGTCACTAGAAGCATGAATTTGAAGGATGTAGCTTGTCTCCATCCTCTTCCTTGCTGTCTCTCCTTCTCTATCTCTCTGCTTCCTGGCCACCATGAGGTAAGCAGCTTTCCTCTGCCACACCTTCTACATCAGGATGTTCTACCTTACCATAGCCCCAGAAACAATGAAGCTAACTGACCATGGACTGAAACCTCTGAAACTGTGATCCAAAATAAATCTTTCTCTTTTAAGCTGTTTATGTCACGTAATTTGTCACAGCAACAGAAAGCTACTAACACAATACTTAACCATAAAACCCATCTTAACACTTTCCAAGGATCTGGGGTGTTTTCAAGACATGGTCTCACTCAATCCTCCTTGCTCTACATATTCTACACTATAGATCAGACAATGTGTATTAACCTTCCAGAGACCTTCCCTTCTCCACCCAACCCACACCCACACTGAGCTTGCTGCCAGCCTGGTATGAATCAATAAGTGGCAGGCTAGAGAGGTCACTTTAGATGACTCTAAGCTAAAAAGCATACATGCAATCTCCCAGGAGACTTTTTAAAAATCACTTTAGCTCTATTAACAGCTCAGGTTCCCTCCCTTATTGCCGGACAGTGGGGATCTTTCAACTGCTCCAAAATGTTGGGAAGGAATTTGATGCTCCCAGAGGGAAAGGGTTCACAGTGAAGAAATACAAAGAATATGCCAATGGGACTGCAATTGTGATAACATCTGATGAACCAAAAGTGCAAAGAGAACTCATGTTCTAAGCATGAATACACACACACACACACACACACACACACACACACATAAAAACAATAATATATGTTGGTAAATTCTTCCATATTACCCAAGCCTGGAAAAAGTGTGTATACCTTTGTCCTAGTTTCTTAAAGCCAAGTGTTTCTAGTTTTTTAGAAAATAAAATTCCATGAATGATTCATGCTCAGCTAGCTTGTTCTCTAGGAACTGTAGCTCTCCTACATAGATGTCATATATAATCTTTTCCCCAAGATACTTCCATTTTTTTGTTTTTCCTGTATACATGCATTGATGTGTTTGCCAAGACAATATTCTGCCTAATTGGGGCCAAGCATTTTCCAGGTACAACCCACTCTCAAGCTGTTCATCTTCTTGATTTCTACAGACCGTATCACCCATATTTCCTTGATAGGCTGGGAAGTAGATGCTAAGATATTAGATTCAAGCAACACATCAACACTTAATATCCCATATTACTAGCTTTTCCTATAGCCTTTCAGAGTGATTAAGTTGGGAATAATCAGAAAATAATTGCTCATCTCTGAAAACCATCTGTCACCACCTGATATTCTCATGCTGTCAAACTGTGCCTGGTGATTCCTTTCAGTGATTTTCTAAGTAGTTTCATTTATGTCAAGGAATATCCAAGGCACTAGAGTTTGCTTTGCTTGAAATGGCTACAAATATAACTCCTTCCAAGACCCAAGCATCTCACTGTTCCTACTAGTCTAATCTCTCATAGCATTGCTTGGAGGAGCAGGGTAGAGATATATTCCTTCTTCCTTAACAAAGAGTAACACCACAATGGAGCCTGTAGTGAGATATTTTCTAAAATATCTTTCTAAAATCTCTTTTCTAAAATAGACTTTCTCTTGAAAACTGTATATTTGATGTCATTGTCATAGTTTAGGCTGCTTAATTGGTAGACAGATCATGTTAATGAATCAACTGTTCACAAGCAATGACAAGATGGTAATCACCTCTGCAAACAATTTTCTGCAGTAGCATGAGATAGTTGTATCTCAGGACCATTATCACCACCAAAACCACTGTGAAGGAGCTAAGTCTGTCTAGTTTCCATCACTTTTTCTCTTCAGTCTCTATTAAAATAGTTAACCTATAGCTACTTTTTCTTCCAATACGAGTGTGCAAATTCCCAAGGAATGGTTATTCTCAGGGCCCCTACCTAGGTTAATCCCATAGGTTTAGCTGTTCTGAGCATCACATAGACTGGACCCTAACCATTTCATCACTTACCACTACCCTTTCAAAGCATTGCCAAGCTTGAGGAAAAAGGCTGACCCTGGAGGCATTACCTATCTTTCCAGCTCCTTTTTATATGGTTCTCTTGTTAGAAACAAATTCAGGAGATAAAGGCAATATGCTAGACTGCACTTACAGCAAAAACCTGGTCCTTGATTGCTATCTTTAGAGTTTTAAATTCCATTTCATAAATGCCAGACTCTAGAAACACAGAAGAAATATGTACCCTGTCATCAAAGTACTCAGAATCTATGTGGGAGGAAGACACATGATTCAAAGAGATCAGTATCAGAATAATGGAATTTAATAGGGACTTGGGAACATAACTGAGATAGTAATTAATTCTGGCCTGGTAGACAGGGGGACAAGAAAGCCTACAGAAAACACAGAA